TGTGTGTATATCTATCCCCCCCTGCTTTTTTTTTGTCCCCCCCCCCCCCCCCAGCCATTTATTCCCACTTGGTTCTATGAGCTACGTGGACTGGACATTTAGCACGTCACTTCTGATCCCCACTTCGTTTATGACATGAACAAATCGGACGGTGATTAAAAGGTCAGCCGCTCCACCTCCCTCTGCTTTTGTGTGCAATGTAGAACCGAGGAATAATTGATGTCGGACACTCCTGTGATCAAATATTAAAGATTCACTTTAGTAGTAGCAGCCAGTCGGGGGCTCTAAGTGATGCAATCCTGTCATCCCACAGCCGGTCACTAGGTAGCAGAGTGCACCTGGGCCCGTGGAGCTGGAGACCAGAGTGGCATATAAATGGGGGCGGGGGGGCGCTCTCTGAGGATTTATAGAAATAGATGCTCATTTCTCAAAGGGGAGCAGAGTGTAGGGGAGAGGAGCGGTGGTGTGAGCCGCGGCTTGATCACTGTTGAGCAGGCAATCAAGAAGGAGTCGGTGAGGTTCTGTTCTCCTCCTCCCTGTGCTCCGCTCCCTCTCCACTGGTTGGTTAAGTGACTGCTGTAAAGCTCCAGTCAAACCACTTCCTACGCCCAACATTTTTTCATCCTCTTTCTTTTGCCATGTATCCCTGTTAGGAGCAGGTTTCAGATTTTCTCTGGTGACACGAAGGCACAGGGAGAGGCATGAACTGCAGCTGAAGTTAAACAACAACAACAAAAAACTTTTAATATGTAGCGATCACCAATTAAGTAGGATCACAGTTTAGTATTTAAATATATGATCAGTATTTTTTACTTTTTAAGTATCAACAATCTGATCTGTGTTTTTACGGATGATCATTTAACCAGATGTGATGGAAGTGTCGAGTATAAGAAATACTAGCTGAAAACATCCAATCCTCACAGACTTTGTTCTTTCTTTTGTGTTAACCCAGACTACAGAAGAGTCCTGGACTTGTAGAGAGTCTCATGGACTCTGGCGTTTCTCTCTGTCTCTGTCTTTTTCTGTCACTCCGGGTTAAAAAGTCGTCACCGTCTTGTCGTTCCCTCGGCCTGTAAGTAATAAGTATAAGTGAACGTCAGCCGCTCTTCTCTGTGCGTGTTTGTTGTTTGCATGGTTGTGTGTTAGAGACAGCTGTCAGCAGGGTTCCTTGAGCAGCCCCCCCCCCCCTCCTTTTTTATTTCTGTCAGAGCGAGGGCCTGGGGAGTTGAGTGAGTGAATGAGGCAGCGACTGCCTCACTGAAACCTACTCCTGGGAAAAGGCAGGGGTTCCTGTACTCAATTTTCCCTTCACTTGGGATAAACAGGCAATTACCCATCCCTTTTTCATATGCCATGGCCATCCGGTGAACTTAAGCATACACTATTAGTGTGTGTCCCTGTAGGACCTGCACTGTGGGGTGTGGAGGTGGTGAGTGCAAAAATGGGAACAGAGTTTGTTAAATGACTGCACTGACAGAATGAGCGAAAGGAGTTTAACTGCATTACCAGGCACGCTAAATACACACACACACACACACACACACACACACAATGAATAGGTGATCTGAATGTAACCGGGTGAATTTAATTGAATTAGTTAGAACAAGTGCTGCCCCCTTTTTTTCTCTTTCTGTCAGTGTCACGTTGAAACCTCTGCGTCTGGCAGCAGAACCAAGTGACAAGTCGGATATTAGACAGAAGAAGTGGGAATGGCAGGGACGCCTCCAGGTAACGGAGAGGCTGCACAGTTTTAATGATCATTGCTGTCATCTTTTTCCTTCCTCGTCTGCCCTCCTCCTCTGGATTCTTTCCATCAGCTACAGCACTCAGACTTTTTGTCTTCATCTCAGAGAAGACGGGACACTTTTTCGTTAATAGCAAGTAGAATATCTGGATATTTCTCCATAAATGGTTATGTTTGGACTATGACAAAATGACCAATGTATGATATAAATGTGCCTGAACACTGATATGGATGTAAGTTGTTGCGAACACTGTACAGAACACAGAAAAAACAAAAAAAACAAAACCCCAAAAAAAACACTGCATATTCCCCCCTCTGTGTCTAGCACCAGTACTGCGTATTCCCCCCTCTGTGTCTAGCACCAGTCAAGTCAGAGAAGGTCTCATTGAAACACAAGGCATTTGTAATACACTGATAAACAGATTAGACGGAGGAACAATTTATATTTTTTGTCTTTTTACAAAAAATATTTTCATATTGGAACAGGAACATTTTTGTGGAGATACATAACCCACTAATAAATACCCCTTCCCCAGGCTTCTTTGCCAAATTACTGGGAATATCAGTACCGCAAGACAGTCATGGACATGTGGAAGGGCTGCAGCTGACAGCCAGGAAAATGGTGACATTTTTATCAAGTTACATTTCTAGTCAACAGTCAGCAATGGAATCCGATACCAAAAATATCACAGCAAAAGATTTAAGACTCAAGTGCATCATATTTATCTGGAGGGGCTTGGATTAAGTTAAACGTCACAATGAAAAATCGTATACAAAAGCAAACACTTGTGTTTTGGTCACAGTTAAAGGACTATTCCATCTTTTTTTATCTACTTGTCAAATTTACAAGACTTTGGAGGGAGCGGGTTTAAGTTGTCGCTTCTCTTACCTTTACGATGATGTCATGCTTTACACAGATTATTTTGCTCAACTGCTGAAGTGTTTGCTGTGAGGTCATATAACAACACACACGTGTTTCCCGGTAATCATTAAAAAGAGAAATTTTCTGTTTTAATTATTTCTCAGTCGATTTGTGTTTGTTCAACAGCAGTTTGTACTTAGTCACAACCCAATTAGGTTTTGAGCAGACACTTTTTAAATAGACTTGCAGTGATGGGGGAGGGGTGTCTCAGGTGGATGTTGTAAAATTATATTGAGTATGTGCAAAAACTGAACTGGTACAAGTATGTTAAAGGTATCGTCAAGTCCCTCGGCACTGTAGCCAACACTGACGGCAAACAACGCCCAAAGTCATCATTGCAAATGTCCTCACTATAATAATATTACACATCCCCATGTATAGACGCAAAGTGCAAAAAACTAAATTAGTATACCGAAGCTCGAAAAGAAAGAAAGAAAGAAAGAAAGAAAAAAACAGGCCAAAAAAAAAAAAAAAACCACAGAGAATGATATCAGTGTCTTGGAATGCTGAACCTCTGAATACCTAACAAGTAAATAAAGCAAGTCACGTGAAACTCTTTTTTTTTTCTTGGACTCGGTAAAAACATGTTTTTAAAGCTAACATAATTTAATTAAGCTAGTACGATGCTACCTTTTTCTTGCCAATAGCTGGAAATATTGTACTGGGCTGTAACATAAAACCATAAGAATTGAGGAAAAAGCAAACAACCATCAACACAAGTCTTTTTCACCAAAAGCATCTCGGGACATTATTTACAGATGAAGCGGTCATGCTTTTGTGAGGGGTTCGTTTGAAAGGTTTCATTACACAAATACAACAAGGAGTTTTCTTTTTTTTTTTTTCAGTACTATTATTTCTGCAGGCAAAGTCACAAATAAGAGTTTGAATGAATTCTTTGGAAACTGACACAAAAGCCGAGTTGGGAACAGTTTCAAAGAAACAATGTAGGGGTTATGAAAAAGTGTCGTTTTTTTTTTTTTTTGTTTTTTTTTTTTCCTTTTTGTTTTTTAACAAAGCACGCTCCATACCTGATGAAGAAGTCCAAGGTCACATCCAGAAACTGCACTCATTGTCATTTTTTTTAGAGGGACATACATGTTTTGCTTTGCTTTACAGACGATAGGCAGGAGGAACACCAGCACTCGGCCTGTGTTTGATAGCCCTGGGCTGATGTTAAAAGCTAATTTGAGGAAGAATCAGGATGAGGGAGGAGTGGGCACACTGACAGGAGGTGAGAGTAGGAAGTCCTTGTTTAGTCTATTATTGTGGAGAAGGGCATGTTTTTGTGGAGGTTGGGGTTTTGAGAGTGTCGGTTGCGACTGCGCACAGAGCTGAACACCATGTGGCAACCAGGAATTTTGCACTTGTGCATCTGCCGCAGGTGCACAGTCTTGTAGTGCACACGCAGAGTCCCTTTGTTGCTGTACATTTTGTGGCAGATGTTGCAGAGGATCCCACCACCGCCACAGTTGCTGCCCCCACTAGAAGAAAGGTTGAATGGTGAGGACGGAGGTTCGAAGCACTCACCATGTCTCCTTTCTCCTAGTTCTCCATTGTCAACTTGGTGCCCTGGTTTGTGTCGCCCATTGGGAAGCTGGCTGCAGTCTTTTCCCTCACTGATGCCCTCCTCCTCCTCATCCACTTCCCCATCCTCTTCCTCCAGATCATCCAGTAGGATGCCTTCGTCGCTTCCCTCGTCTGACTCTTGTGAGGAGTGGACACTGCTGTTGGACTGAACACTAGACGTGGTGCTCAGGTCCAGCACCATGTAGTCATCAGGCTGGCCTTGGTACATACCGTTCGTGTGCTGATGGTTCAGTTCTTGGATGACATGATTTTGGGGATACTCGTTGCTCATTGGGAAACGGGCGTGGTTAAAGTTGACTGACCCAAGGCCGGCACCTCCAAAGGCCATCGCAGTCATAGCGTCCAAGCCCATATGGTGCCCAGTGTAGATCTTAGCCAATAACTCGGCTCGCAGGTCCCTGGGCAGTGGCGTTAGTCGGGGGTCCAGGACAATGTCATCCAGCTCTTTGGTCAGCAGTTTGCGGTGCAGGTTTATGTTGGAGCTGTGCCTGTAAAACAAAGCAGTGTGTAAGAATATTACAATATTCACATTTGTTTTATCCAAGTTAGTTCCATAATTTCCATTCAATTGTGAAGTTGTCTGACTTCAGAAAAAATCAACAGGAAGATCTACACTATCGTCCCTTGAGCAACTTATTGAATGTCTTTTTGCCAAACAAACAGAAATGAAGAAAAAACAAACAAACAAACAAACTGCCAAACCGGTGTTAACAGAAACCGGACTGAGATAGTACAGAGAGAGATAGCGTCCTGCAAGTGTTTAGTGCTGTCAGCATGTCTGCACTGCATCGCCCTCAAATCCAATAGACTCTGACTCAATTAAATACTCCACCATATTGAATGGGAGTTTATCAATTGATTTGAGCTGTGGTAATGTGATAATCGAGGGGAACTGGATAGCATATTAGCACTAGGCCCTGACAGCATTATCGCATCGGCTCCCTATTGGAGGTGGCTTAATCGAACACCTAAGCGAACATGTCTTTATGTAGCGCTGGGTTTAATTAAGACAGGCATTTTTCTGCAAACACAAAGCAAACTGTATCGCACAAAGTGCCGAAGCTGATGAGAGATAATATGTAACAAGTGCCATGCTCAAGCCAGATTACAATTAGTGGCGATTTAAATAGGGATACAAGGCCATGCTAAGTGACGCAAGGTGAAAAGTGCTTGAACAATAGTAATGTTTTTTTGTCTGGGGTTTCAAAGCTGCCAATTTGAACTAAGAAGCTAATGGTGCACAATGTCAAATAATAATATAAAAACGAAATAACCATCTATTAAACTGTACCATATTAGTCATAAACAAGTTCCACCCATTCCATTTAAATCAAATATTCAAAAAGGATTTCCATGCAGGGAGGGCTTGTGCAAAAAGTTAAAAAATTAAAAATACAACAACAACAACAAAAAAAGGTTGTCCTTAACAAGACTAGGAAACATGGAGTCACAATGGATAGTAGAGCTTACCAGCAGTGGCAGGGTTGATGCAGTCAAAAAGGGTCCCTTTCCATTAATTATTTACTTCCCTATCCGACAATGTCCTGCAAGAGGTAAAAATACATTCATTTCAGGGACCCTTTTCTGTGAACCAAGCAGGAGCCCGTCCACTCGAGCATCGTCAGCATTGGAGAGAGAGAGAGAGAGAGAAGGAGAGAGAGCGTGGCAAATTGATTGGCCGTGTTCGTTACTGCATGTGTGTGTGTGTTTGCACATGTTGGTCTCTGCTCGTGTGTGAAGAAAAAAACCTAAAACATACTACCTTCACACAGCAGGATGATCAAAAAGACTATATAAATCCTTTGTCCTTTTTTGTCCTTTTACAGCACAGATGCACTCATATGGTGTTAGCTTAATGCTATACCATGGGAGCCATGATTCAGTGTCTGTGGCACTGCGCCTGTCGAGTCAAATGCATACAATATGTGGCCACTTGGCTGTGAGGAGCTGGAATGTTTGAAAAAAAAAATCTGGAAAAATCATGTCTGCGAGGGCACAGGACAACTGTCCTTAAGGTGAAGAGGAGTCGATGCTGAAGATGCTGTTGTGATGCTCGAGTAGGCGGGTCTATTGCAACATATTTCCAGCTGTACACAACACCGTCACACTGCTAATAAGCTCTAAGTTTCTATCTGCTTCAACATGTTAAAGTAAACATGCTCAATATCATGCAGTAATTAGCCTTCGCTAGAGCTACGGTAGCCAATGTACACTCTAAATACCACGCAGTTTGAATAAAATATTCACAGGTACCACTAATGTCATCATTCTTTTCACAAAAGTACAATATTCACATTCACTTTGTAGGATAAAAAAAAACATCTTAACATCATAAACAAAAATATAAATGGTAAAATCCAAATTATTAGCAATAGCTACGTTTGTTATCCTTTTTGTTTCACGACCTACAGCTTATTATTCAGGACGTGTGCACTGCTCTTATCTTCAGCTTTGTCAGATTTAGACTTCCCGGCCCATTTTTATACTCCCTCCACCTCAGAACATCCGATCTTCCCACCCCCAAAACTCTCTCCTAGCCCCCACCTCTGCCTCCCCGTTGGCCAGTAATGTGGCTGGCAAACCAATTTGACAGTCTCATCTTCGCCCAAAAGACGGGGGAGGGCCTCGTGAGAGGCCATTTTTGACTGTGCAGAGGAGGCTGAGCGTAAGCGAGCGCGCGCTTGTCCCAACTGGCGTTAATCATCTGATGGCCCTTGCCCTCGTGTTTGTGTTTATGCGTGTACGTGGTGACTAAATGACTCATAAAGTCTAAATGAGATGAAGAGCTGAGTGGTATTAATCTGACACCAGTCCGTCTGTCTTTCCTTTCATTTGTGCCACGTTATGAGGTTTTATGTGGATGTGGGAGGATAAGAGTTTTCTTTGCATCTCTCATCTTCAGTCACTGTTCAATCGCCTTTGTATTTTTTCACATAAAAGTGGGCCGGCATGTTCTAATTTAAACATACATGGAAGAGTGTTTTATCCATAATTTCCCTCCCTGGATCACACTACACACACATCCTTTGTTTATATATAGTAGGTATTTCTTCAGAGAGCAAAGAAAGAAAGAAGGAAAGAAAAGAGTTTTCCACATAATTAACTCTCACTCTTCATTTATCGTGCACCACTTGCTCCATGGGGATGGAGGAGAGTGACTGAAGAGCATGGACTAGTCCAATCTTTTCCACTAGTTAATACTAACCCTGTTTCCAACACCTTAGTAAAGGCAAATAAATAAAACTGAAATCTAAAAAAACCAAACAAATTCACTGCAGTTTTAATTTTGACGTCCCTGCCAATTTTTTGTGTCTTCCAACTATGACTAATATCTTTATTTCTAGCTTTAAAGACAGAAGCTTCTAGTGTGCGATAGGTTGCATAGATTGCACAAGTCCTATCTGTAAATAAACGAACACAGTGTCGACCAGTTTTACGTTTAGCGCAACAACACACAGTGTTAAATATGAAGTGTTGTGTTCAGGGGAAATCTGAAAAACTGCTGATTAACTGTGACTGCCAGCAAACGATCATATAAAGAGGGAAAATGCAGTTTGACTTGATCCCATTTTCCAGTAATAAACATCCAAATGTTGTTTTGTGCAAATATTTCAGTGTGTGCAGTTTCTTAATCTTATTAGAGCACATGCTCTTATGGACACAGCCAAATTATTCTCCCTCTTTATTGCTTCCATTATAGTCATACATGCATTATATCATTAGAGGATCATCTGGGGACTGATTTAATGAGGACCCAGTGTGTGTATTGACTCATCCCAAAGCCCCAGGATTCCTTTAGCTAGCAATGCCCTTTCCCTGTTGTTTTGTTCCCCGTTTGAACCAGCGGTTGTAGTAATATGTCCCATATGCTCTGTGGAATTTATCCCCCTACAGAAAAATATGGAAAAATCACTATGTTAACGTCTCAGTTCCCCAGAGCCCTACAGCACACCCATACCTCAAGATGCATTAAAGCATTATATCCACAATTGTCTCCCACTGCAGAGTCATCTCTGCTGTCAATTTATCCTGCCACTTTGTGTATAAAGGACGTGTATTTTGGCATCTGCCGAGGTACAAGCAGTCAACAGCTTTGTCCAACTCCTATCTTTAATACAAATACATGGAAATATAAGATTGTTTAAAGTGTTATGAATAAATGATACAACAGATACATTTAAGTGCTGATAAACTAGTGCTGACACACTGTGTTTTGCTCAGTAAATTACGTTCCTACATCTTCAACAAATCATCAAAAAGGTGATTTCCGAAATCTTTAATTATTTTAAATTCAACTATTACAACTTTGAGGGTTTTATCAAACCCTAAGGTTGAAAGAATTTCTCATATCAAACCACTAAGTAAATGCATGGGGTTGTGTTGCTAATGTGTGTGTGTGTGTGTGTTACACAGCAGGCCTGTTGTGCCTGTGGCATTCTCTATTTCTATAGCCTCGTTAAGAGGAAGTAGATAACAGAATGACTGGTGGCAGTGTGGCACACCGTGGCAGAGGATGCTAACATAACACATTTTGTCATGTTGCTGCTGCTCTCAGCACAGCTGCAGCAGACAAACAGAAGGGTTGCACCTTGACTAACACTAACTTGTCACCTGCTCAGCGCCCCTGTTCTCCTTTCACATCCATTCTAATGGAGTCCCAGAATCACCTGCTCTATTTACAATCTGCTAATGAACAATCATTGTTTTGAACAGATGCAACTGAAATAACACGTGCAGCAAAGCAACTTGGAGTGTAGGCACTGGGAGTAAGAAGAGTGACGGACAAAGCTGAGGAAAAGACTTTATGAAAAAAAAAAAATTTTTTTTTTTTGGTGCCTGCTTGAAAAAGCAGACATAACGCTGCGGTTCTATGAGAAAGTGTTGGGTAAATTCACAAAACCTCCAATTAATTTGTTTATGATAAAACAATAATCCAAAAGTCAACTCAGATGTTGCAAAAAACAAAACAAAACAAAACAAAACAAAAAATCATTTTTAAACCTTAAGTGTCAAAAACATTGATAAGGTACATGGGCTCTAAATTTCGTCAACTTGCTCCTGGTACGGATGCAACATACCGTACGTATAATCTGCCGAGTGAGAGTGTGGGACTGATATGTGCTAACAAGCCCAGGTGATGTGGCTAGCCTCACCTCCTAATGCGCTAATAGATGCAGTGGTTTGACAAACTGCTGTCTATGTTAATATATGCACCTTCACCACCCTGTGACAAGGTGAGGGAGTGGGGGCAAGTAAACAGCGCACCGCAGCTGGAGGACTTGTGGATATGACCTAGCATGTGTGTGTGTGTGTGTGTGTTCATTTGGTTTTTCATCCTGACACCCTACTCTTCTGAACTTTGACTTGACAAGGAGCAGATGTCCTTGAGTCATTAGCAGACAGATGTTACCTGATAGCCTACGTAGTCACTGTGGCTGCCACTCATTAATTAAATCTATGCTTTGACTGAACTGAACATTTATCAGGAAAACTAAATGCATCTTTCAGGCTAATATACATATCTAATGCTTGGTTTACTCATTATTTCTACACAGATGATTTAAGCATCTTCGTATTATGCACACTGTACCAACATGATGTCTTTAAAACACAGGCAGTGTATTGACTTTACAGTACATTGGACTCAGCTGAGCCTGTCGTATACGTGGCACTTACCTATCTCTGCTCCGCCGTGAAGGGAAAGCAGCATTGCAGCCAGCCACAGTGCACACATGCATTTCTTTGAGATGTACATTCTTGTAGTGCAGTTTCATGCTATAGGAGCTCTTGAAACTCTTCTTACACACATAGCAGATCTTGGGGTCAGGACTTGAACATGGATCTCCCTCCGGTGAATGGGAAGTTGGGAATTTGGGAGGACTGGAGCCGTATCCCATAGACGTGATGAAGTTCTCGTGCAGTGCAGCCATACTCGCGGCGGCGGCAGCAGCGGCGGCCATACCTCCGTTGTAAATGCCATACTGGCCCATGCAGAACATGTCGTAGGTAGGATCACTGAGTTCTTCTTTGATCCTTATAGATGGCTGATGAAGCGAAGGTGACGAGTGACCTTTGGCTTCCATTTCTTTTCTCAAGTGGGCTTCGTCGATGCTCTCATCATCATGATCTTTGTCCAAACGCCTCCCACCTTTGTTGTGTTTCTGCTGCTCCTCCACATCCATGAGCTCATCACGATAGAACATCTTGGACTCAGAGGCTTCAGATTCATTTTCAAAGTCTCTCTCATGGTCCTGATCTTCCGAGGTGAAGCTGTCCATGCAGCGCAATTCACTTGAACCTCGGAGATCATTTGCGCCCCTGCTGTCACTACCAGTACCGTCTCGGCATTTATCTTCACTCTGTCTCAGTATTCCTCTTAAACCTAAGACGGGGCTCATCTCATCATGAGAAGGTGACTGATGCCCACTGCCACCACTGTGGGTCCCGTTACCATTGCCACTAATGTTGATGTTGCAATTTCCATTCATTTTTAAGCTATTGTGAAGAACAGACGATGGGTGATGGTGGTTTTGGTGGATGTTATCGTCATCGTCCTCATCTTTGTCCTCATATTCATCAGCCACGTCAATAACTTCCTTCTCGATCTTCACTGGCATGCTAGATTTCCGTGGCTTCTTTTTAGGTGTGGGGTCACTGTTGCCACCGGTGAGGTCATGATTGGCAGTAGGCGTAGGTAAGTGGTGGGACATGGGTCCTGCCTCTGACACATGTACATTATTGTGTGAGGCAGCAGCTGCAGCAGCCAGGAGTTGCTGTTGCTGGTCCATCAGGGTGGTACTATTAGTGGTGGTGGGCAGAATAGGACTGGTAGGCAGTGACACTGGAGGACTGACGAGGTCAGCAGGGGACAGGAGTGTTCGGTAGAATGGTGGTACTGGCTGAACAGGTTGGACTGATTTTAGAGAAGGGAACACCAGTGGGCTTTGAAGGGGTGAATGAAGCATAGGGTCTACTGGTGGAGTAGTAAAACCAAGTGGTGGCCGCCCAGGGCTGGTGAGTGTAAAGCAACCGTTTTTGGTGCTTGAAATGACAGGTGTGCCACTGTTTGAAGTGGCACGGATGAGGTCTTTGTCGCGATTATTGCGCAGCATTGGCATATGCAGCCTCGGATTGGGATTGGCACTGTGACGATTACGGCTGCGAAGAGAACTGAAGACCATGTTGCAACCTTCGATGGTGCAACGATGTTTAATCTTCAAGTGTACAGCATTAAAGTGTATCTTTAGTGTTCCTTTGTCATAGAATGTTTTGCCACAAGACGTACAACACACGCGGCCCTTGCGGGAATTGGCCCCCATGCGGCGCATGCGATGCATTTTTGAGGAAAAGGACTGATGGCTGATTGTTTTTGACTGCTCGTCCTTCACAAAGTGGTGGTGGACCTGGTTTTCACTCAAGCTGTTGGTTTGGGGAGAATGGTTTTGTGTTTGCTGTTGGCCTTGTTGCTGCTGAATCTGCGTCTGCTGTTGCTGCTGCTGCTGAGCTTGCTGGGTGGAATGGGTTGGTGAGATAGGCGATGCCCGATTGTTGGGCTCTGTTTTAGGTTCAATGTTGTTTGCCATGGCACCCAGTGTTCCACGGCTTGGACTCTGACCAGTGCGAAAGGGTGAGAGGGATACTTCAGACTCACTGGTTTCTACCTGGTCCCCTTGGTTTGGCAGGCTGGGCTCCCGTAGCCGAAGGGCAGAATGTTCCATTGGAAGACCGTTAGGGGGCAAACCAAGCATCGGTGCGGAGACTGGGTTTATGTATTGGAAGGGCAGGAGGAAGGCTAAGCTGTTAGGGATATTCTCGAAATGATGAATACTTGATGGGCTACTGTTTTCTAGATGTGTCAGGAGTCCTGGGCTGCGGGTTCTGTTGTTGCTTTCGATAAATGTCCTAATGCCGGAGTCTGTCTTTGCAGAGGGAACTGTTACGGCCTGACCTTCTTTCTCTTGAATGGCCATCAACTCCACTATGGATTTGGTCTCACCAAAGCGTAAGAACTGCTGCAATGTGATGATCTCTTCTTCTCGAGACATGATGTTCCATCGGTCTAACACCTTGCCTGCAGTGTCCTATAAGAAGAGACGAGTGAGAGAAGACAAACACAGGTTATTGATTGTGCATCACCACTGTGAGCAATGTAAAACACTTGATTTGCTAATTAGCTTTGCTCTAAAATAAATGAATTCTTCATGATAAGTTACATGACATGCAATAGAATTTTTCTTGTGTCTCTGAGGCAGAAGAAGAATTAGAAGCATACAGAACTATAACAGATTAAGGTCAATCTTCAGACATACTATTTTCTTGCTTATTTAAAAAACTACTGGTTCATTAGTTTCCATAATTATTTGTGTGAGCAAGAGAGAAAATTAGAATATGATGATTCAAACAGGCTCACATGGGACCAGAAAAAAATGACATCAAGGGAGCACCACAAGACAATTAGCCAGAGTGAAATGGTACATTTTTGAATGTGCTCCTAGCCACTGGCATCTATAAAAGATAAATGCAACTCTGGTGAGTAAAATGCTGCGAAAACCAACATCACAAAGCACAAAGGGCCTGTAACGAGAAAACAGAAGATAAATGTTTCAAGAGGAACAGCAAGAGGGAGATAGCAGCGATGAAACACAGAGGAAAGAAAGCCAAAAACAGAGAAAACCAGAAAAAAAGAGTGAGTTGTTTCATATCATGCCTTCAGATAAACTCGAGAAATAGATTCTACCGAGATGAAACATCAATAGTCACTGGGGTATTTGTTGTTAAATATACATTAAAAAAACATTTTACACTTTCATTCTGTGTGCGCTGCAGAGTTTTTGCCTGGAGATATGACTTTAAGTTCCAGCCTGAGCAACAGTAAATTATACTGGATGGCGATGTGGGTATTAGTACTTCTATTTGCTAAATTTAAACAATAACAACAAAAAAAGGAATTAAAAAAGGGAATTTTTATAAAGTTCAAAACCTCAAACATTTACAAGAGAACAGTTTTTCTACCAAGATATTTTTTCCATGGATTTTTAAGAAAAACTTTTGTTAGTGAAATAATTTGATTAAAATTACCTATCTATCTATCTATCTATCTATCTTTCTATCTATCTATCTATCTATCTTTCTATCTATCTATCTATCTATCTAATCTATATACGTATATTTAGGTACACATATATATATATAGTTTTTACTATAGTAAGTCCCACCGTTCCCACCCCTCTACATTAGCTTTGTGATGTTGTGCGAGAAACAAATATGCCATTAGAAGCACTTTTACAAGCACTCATCTTCCAATTAGCTTAATGTGGCCCTCTTTCCACTATATTTTCTAGCCTGCCCCACCTCTTCTTGTATACTCCCTCCAGGAAAATCTCATTAATTCATCCCCCCTCCTTCCCCCGTGCTATGACATATTAGTCTGTCATTATGCATCCCAGAGTCCTTTAAACAATACAGCTAAACCTCTGTTTGCCAGGTTAATGACTATTAGCCAGTAATTACAGAAGAGAGACGATAGGGTACCCACTTTATCTGGTAGACAGCCTGCTGCTATTAGTTTATTTTATCTCCCTTCCTCCACGTCTCTCTGAATTAATCTAGCACGGACCGTATTTATTCATCTCTGTGCTGCTGCATTCTTAATTCATGTTTGTCTCTAATTCCACATCGGTGGATATTGTACAGCGGGTGTGTGTTGGGGTATCCACTTTGCAAATTGCTGACAATGAGGATAAGGAAATGATAGCCTTGTCACAGAGCAGGGCACCGCTGTCAGTTAAAACAAATCAGGCAATTATGCAATTAGCAGGTAATGGGCTGGGCTGCGTTAGGAGCCAGGGTCGTGCAGAGTTGCAGGTTGCTTACTGTGCATTAGGAATTAAAAGCCTAACGTCTACAGTGTACACATTCCACCAATCATCGCCTATCATACCCGTGTTAAATCTATTTGGCGAGCATGGAGGCAGATGTAATGCCGTTCATCACGATTGTGCCTTATTCCATGTGTCACCGGATCCCGAGTATCTGTAGAACTTGTGACATAACAGCCCTGATATTTACCGTTGGAAGTGAACACACACATTAGACGACATACATGTGCGTCTTCCTACAACACTGTTGAGTTGATCACCAGACAGAGTCACATTACCGCAGTAAAGAGGGATCTGCTCTCACAATGGCAAAGTGAAGCATGGGAACCACATTGATTCACCAGTCACCTTGCAGTAAATGTGATCTCCACCAAGCCTCAGAGGATTCTCCATTGATCTCCAGCCCTGCTTCAGATCTACTTCCTTTAAAACTGCTTTATCCCTTTGTTTGCTTCTTCAGGTGAGGTTAAGCTGAAGTTCCTTGTGATCTGAGAAGATCTTGAACCTCCGTGCACCCATTTCCATATTCGGTTCCCCCCAAACCCATTCTAGAGTGTATGAATAATGCAGATGATCTAGTGGCGAGAAGTGCAGTGGTAGATGGGTTCATGCAAAGCCCACTGCCTGGAGCCATCACATCAGAGGGCAAGGGCTCCCAAGACACAGCCTACTCTCTCATTGGCTCCCCAGTGGCAGGTCAGAGGTCACATGTCGACATCCAGATCTACTTCTTCCCCTGTGATGGACTATAGGGAAATCAGAAGGCATGTCCAGACGTGGGTGTAGGGCATTTGTTAGAATCATAGAGGTTGAAATTTGCACTCTGTGATCATTGTAAATTCCTCCTTTATGTTCTACACATAAGAAGAAAGTGTTGGCTCAGATGTGACCTTGTGTATCTACATGTTTACAGTTTCCCTTTACAGAAACATTTACAGTAGACTTTCTGTAAGTACAAACAGAGCTGAGGCACTCAAAAGGTCACAGTTCTGTTTTGATAATTCAAGATCACTTTGACCTCACTGTATTATGCATTTAGTCACATTTTGTTACTTTTTAGTTGCTTTCAACTAAATAACAATATCCAATAGACAAAGTATGGCTGAAAATATCGTAGTATAAATTGCACAAGAAGTTTTTGTGGTATGTTCAGGAAATATAATGATATATAATGAAAAAAAAATTCAATATGCAATGTATGCATGATGTGTCCGTAGAAAAATCCTGATCTGAAGTACATTTTGGAGGTATCGCCAAATATTGTGTAAATGTGTACAACAGAGAAAAAAATGGTGAATGAGGAGTATACATTTGGTAAACCAACAAATGGTAGAGCTTAGACAGTAAGATTTGTATTAAAACTTTGAAAAAACTAATGCAATAAAATAATAATAATTCTAACAGATAAAGTGAAAAACCTAATGGACCTTTCTTAATTTGTGGGGCTGATTTCTTAAAATCAATTTTCATGCCTTTTAATACATTTGGATCTGACGTTCTCCAGATTGGAGTCTACAGTAGACTGAGTTCAGAAGAACTGGGAGCAACGCCTAGTTTTGGACTGATGTATTGATTCCCTGTCTCCATTCACAAAGCATACACAATAACAATGGCTTGCTTCGCCCAACTGTGCTAAGGAAGCGTGGCTGTGGTCAGTGTGTAAAAATCAGTGGACCTAGCACAGAGTTAGAGGGGACGCCTCAGAGAAAGGCAGCAGAGTGATAGAAGCAGAGCAGGGGCGCCGGATGGTTCACATTAATTGAGGATGATTCGTGTGATCTCCTGGGTCTGGCGCAGCAGCCAGGTCTGTCATGGGCCTGGGAGACAGATGTGGGGGCCGCAATGTTCCCTTCAGGGCCGATGGAGAGCAGTAAGGCGGCTGAGAAATGGTGTCTGTCCTGTATGTGTGTGTGGGTGTGTGTTTGTGTGTGTGTACATGTGTGGTGGAGGTGGGGAAGAAGAGGGTCTGACAACCTGCTTTTCTCTCCCTCTTATATCACATCTCCTTTGTCTTGATTGCTATTTTGGCAGGAGGCCGGGCAGAAAAGGTGCACAACATATGGTCACAATTTGCTCCCTGACCATGAGATAGTCACATGTTTTCACTATGTCCTGGTGCATCAGTCATTTCTCCGTTCGTTTGTTTGATATTACCTTTCATAACAGTGTTTTAATAGAGGAAAACAACTCTAGATGGAGAGCAGTAAAAAAAAAAAAAAAGATGAATATAAAAACTTTACAATCTCTGTTTCCTAGAATGTTGCTCCATGTTTGGAATTGTGACAATTTGCAAACTTGTTTTTTTCAGTTTTTAATGAGCTTTTTTTATAATCTAATTTTTATTAACTCTCCACACCAAAAAAAAAAAAAAGATTTTGCCAGAAAATTACGTTGGTGCTGCCATCGAGAGGAAGTAAAGAATCTGAATAGCTGGGCAGAGACGGAGGTGTCTGTATCACACAGACACACTGCATTAGAGAACCTTTTCAGCGTTCTCCATTTTTGCTGCGGAGCATGTTAAAGGAAAGAGAATAAGATAATGGACTCTTTACTTAATGTGATCAGAGCCATTATTGACATGCTGCCAGGAAGATGCAAGACCATTAACTCCAGCACCCCCCCCCTCCCCTCCTCACCCTGCTACCTTCCCTCCAACCCAATTCTAGTCCTGACAGTGTTTCACTACTGACCTGACCACTAGGGGATGTCTGTGCCCCCGAGGAGTCTGTGTCTGTCACGTCAACAAGTAATCCGTGATACAGGCTATCGGGAGAATCGTCAACGAGACGATACAGGGGACCTGGCTCTTAGTTTGCCAGTCTGTGTAGCATGTGTGTAACATTAGCTTTTGTGTGAGATACCACACACACGAGGAATGAGTGATTAGTGCAGGACAGGGTCTGAAGAAAACCACAGGAGTTCCTAACTGAAATTGTTGCATGGCATATTTAAGTTGGCTCTCTCTTCTCCCCGGAGTCGACCAGTGCCAGTGTGGCCGACCCGCTGTAAGGTCTGTGCCAGCAACATCGGCTCCGTGGATGTTCGTGTTTATGCATGTGTGTGATTGTGTGTGAGCGTCTCTGTGATCATGTGGGTACAACAGGAAGTGGTGCTCAGGTCTCTCGGGGCATGGTTCCAGGTCTGTGGATCTGTCTCCTGTCATATGTTCCAGAATGGTGATTACATACTGCAAAAATAAACAC